GTCAAAAGAATGTGGAAATTGAACCATATCATTAACATCATGTTGTTGTTGTTATGTGCCGTCAAGTTGCTTGCAGCTCATAAACCTCGCTCTATTTTGTGCCAACCTCACTGTCTCCGACCCACCTATTCCCAATACCCCAATCACTGAATTGACTCATCTCATCAAGGGCCTTCCTCTCCTGTGCTGTCCCTCCACTCTCTCAAACACGATGTCCCTCTTCAAGGAACTGTGCCTCCTTGCAACATGCCCAAAGTATATCAGATGAAGCCTCAGAATCCTTGACTCCAAGGAGCAGCCTGGTTTCACCCTCTCCAGGGCAAACTGTTTGTTCTCCTAACAGTCCATGTTATATTCAACACTCTTCTCCAGCACCACAGTTCAAAGGCATCAATTCTCTTTATTATTATTATTATTATTATTATTATTATTATTATTATTATTATTTTGTGTGCATGTACCGTCAAATCAGATCTGACTGGTACAGGAGGATATTGCAACTCCTTTTCTGGCAGAGCATCTCGTGGATTCGAACCGTGTTCCTCTGGGATTGCAGTGCAGCTTCTTGCCACTAGGCCACCAGAGCTCCCCTCATCAATTCTCTTTCTATCATCCCTAATCACTGTCCAGCTCTCCGATGCATAACATGCAATTGCAAAGACTATAGTCTGGATCAGGTGCACCTTAGTCTCCAGCTTGATGTCGTTGCTCTTCAGTACTCAAGTAAAATCTTGATGAAAATTATTTAAAAAACAGCTGGAGCATTCCATTGACAGGGAAATAAAAAAAATTCAAGCTGGATTCAGAAGAGGCTGTGGAGCCTCTCAGGGATAAGGGCTATCATTGCTGATGTCAGGCAAAGCATCTTGACTGAAAGCAGAGGCTATAAAAAGAGGTTTACTTGTGTTTTATTGACTGTGCAAAGGCATTAAATTGTACATAACAGAACAGGAATTCCAGAAAACTAAATTGTGCTCACGCAGAATCTGTTCATGGACCAAGAAGCAGTCATTTGAACAGAATGATGGACACTACATGGTTTAAAATCCAGAACAGTGTGTGTCAAGGTCAAAACCTTTCACCACACCTATCCAATCTGTATACTGAAGAAATAATCAGAGAAACTAGACTCTATGAAGAAGAAGACAGCATCAGGATTTGAAGAATACTCATTAACAATCTTTGATATGCAGATGATACAACCTTGTTGCCAGAAAATGGTGAAGACCTGAAGCACTTATTGGTGAAACCAGAAGATGATAGACTTTAATATGGACAGATACAACCTTGCTTGCCAAAATTGAGGAGGATTTGAAGCTTTTGACGCAGAAGGTCAAGGACTGCAGTCTTCAGTATGGTCTGAAGCTCAACATCAAGAAGACAAAGGTTCTTACCACTGAGTCAATTGGCAGCACCATGATAGATTGAGAAGAGATTGAGGTTGTTAACAATTTCAGCTTGCTTGGCTCCACAACCAACACTGTTGGCACCAGCAGTCAGGAAATCAAAAGACGAATTGCTCTGGGAAAGTCTGCTGTCAAGGGACTTCTCAAAAGTGTTGCAGAGCAACAACGTCAGCCCGAAGACTAAGGTACACCTGATTCAGGCCATGGTCTTCACAATTACTTGCTATGCATCAGAGAGGTGCATTATGACCAAGAATGACCAAGGAAGAATCTATGCTTTGAGTTGTGGAGAAGAGTATTGAATATACCATGGATGGACTGCCAAGAGAACAAAGATTTAACCTGGAGAGGATGAAATGAGGCTCCTCCTTAGAGGCAAGGATTTTGAAACTCTGTCTCACATACTTTAGGCACATGGCCAGGAGGGATCAGTCCCTAGAGAAGGACATCATGCTTGGAAAGGTGGAGATACACTGCAGGAGAGGAAGACCCCGGATTAGATAACTGACACAGTAACTGGGATAATGGGGGAAGGTGTGTTGGAGACATTGAGACTGGCTCAAGATAGGGCCGGTTTCAGAGCTATTGTACCTACAGTTGCTATGAGTCACAAGCGAGTTGACGGCATGTAACAACAACATTTCAACACAAAGGAAACAAAAGTCCTCATAACTGTCCAATAAACAGCATCATGATAAATGGAGAAAAGATTGATGCTGACAATTATTTTACTTTACTTAGCTCCACAATCAACATCCATGGAAGCAGTAGTGAAGAAATCAAAAGATATATTGAACTGAGTTGCCTAGTGGCAAGAAGCTGAACTGCAATCTGAGGTACACGGTTTGAATCCACCAGATGCTCTGCTGGAGAAGGATGGCAATCTCCTCCTGTACCAGTCAGATCCTATTTGACAGTACACACACACACACACACATACACACAATTAAAAAAAATATATTGAATTGGGGCACATCTGTTGTCAAGGACCTCTTAAAGTGCTAAAGAGCAATTATGTCCCTGTAAGAACGAAGGCGTGCCTGACCATGGTATTGTCAATTGTTTCATATGCATGTAAAGTTGGACAATGAAGCAGGAAGGCCAAAGAGGAATTTTTTAAATTGTGGTATTGGCAAAGAATGTTGACTATATCACGGACTGCTAAAACAACAAACCAACCTATCTGGGAAAGAGTGTAACCAGAATCTTCCTTGGAAGCAAGCAAGAATGGTGAGACTTTATCTTACACACTTCATCATCTTATCACAAAGGAGCATGTTATTAGAAGGAGCCAGTCCGTGAGGGAAAAGTAGATGGTCAGAAAGAGAGGAAGACCCTCAACAAGATTAATTAATGAGTTACTATGCTGCTTTGAAAACCAAGGAACTCACGAAATATTATTCAAAATGGGTGATCCTGGAGGACATTATGCTGAGTGAAATATCTCAGTCACAAAAGGACAAATACTGCATGGAGCCACTGTTATAAAACGGGACTGACATAGGGGTTAGGGGAGACTGAGAAAGATGGGATAAAAGATGTATACTGCATTGAAACAGATGAGAGAGAACTGTTTATAGGGGATATGTTGTCATTGTTGTTAAGTGCCATCGAGTCACAGGCGACTCATAGGGACCCTATGAAGGAGAGTCCTTGACGCTTGGGTGCCTTTCATCCTCTCTCCAGGTTCATAGGGTTTCCAGAGGCAAGATATTACGGAAGTGGATGCCACTCCTCCTTCCAAGCTTGTTTTAATCAGGGCGCTCCACCCCAATCTCTGTCCGCATAAAAGGGATATATGATTAGATATTATTGTCATGGCATGAGTCCAGAACTAAGGCTGCAGAGTGAAGTAGACTTGGGGGGAGGGATTGTATAACAATGAAAGAATTTTACTTTTCAAAGAAAAGAGCGAACTGGGGGTGCAGGGAGAAAAGTATAACAATGAATGAATGGAAATCCAAAATATCTGTAAATTTTCATTAAAATTAATAAAAAAACCCCAAAGAGTTAAAAAAATAAACATTTTTTAAAAAAACCACAGGAAAACCCCCCCCAATTAGTTAAAACACCACAGAGACAGGGAGGATAGCATAGGATCAGGCAGGGGTTTGTTCTGCTGGACAGAGGGTCCCCTATGAATCAGAGGTAAACTCAATGGCACCTAACAACAAAAATTTGCCTAATAAACTGTTACTTTGAATATTGTCTGTGGGTTCTGTGTAGCTGCTGCAAGGAATTATCAAACCCCTTGAAGAAGTGGAGAATACTGAGGGAGAAAACACTGTGTTAGAATTGGTAAAAACAATGAGCAGAGTGTGTCTGATCTCTGCTCGGAGCAACCAGCCTTGGGCTGATTATCATCCCGCCTTGTAAGGTGAGAAGGGGCTCTGGTGGCATGATGTATGTGCTGTGATAGTGGGAAGGTCAGAAGCTTGAATCTCCCAGCTGCTCCATGGGAGAAATACGGGCAGTGTCTTCCTGTAAGGATTTGTAGCCTTGGAAACGCCATGGAATTAACCTGATGGCAGTGGGTGTGATGGGATTTGTGATGTAAGAGGAGGTCAGATGTCCCAACGATGCCACTCTCACATAGTTGCACAACATGATAACCTCACTGCCCCTGAAGTATTCATATGAAAAATGCTGAAATGACAAAAGTTTTGTGCGCATATATTTCAAATACACATACAAGAAGTGGTTGGCACAGTGCCTGGCACACGAACACTCGACATATGGTAGCTGTTCTTACAGCAGGCCCAGAGAGGTGCAGTGACTTCTCTGAGCTCACATAGCAGGTAGGCACAGGCACGTGACCCTGAAGGCCTAACCTTTTCCATGCCCACTGTGAGTGCTCTGAGCTGGGCCCTGTGGGGCAGGAAGGGTTGTAAGAGGCCTGGGCAACACTGTGCCCTCCTCAGCTGTTTCCCAGACTAGATGGACAGGGCATGGACCCTCTCCCCCCAAGACTGACTGCAAGTGGGTGCTATACCAAGTATCCACACACCAGCCCACCCCCTCCCATCACCACCTCAGTATTAACCCCTGCCTAGGACTGCTGCCCATTCCTTCCCCCCTCAGGCTGTATTATTTTTCTCTGTCTGCAGGGAGTTCTGTTTTGGGGGGACCCAGTGCAGGCCAACTCTGAGGTGGACATAGTGAGCCAACCCCAATCAGGAGAGCTTTGTGACTTCAGAAAAGTCTCTTATTCTCTCTATGTGTTCATAGGCCTCAGGAACAAGCTGGGAAAATCAGCGTCTTTATTGTTTGTAGAGAAGGTAGAAGGAGGCCAGTTTACCTGGGAAAGCCATTCTGAGGGGGATACTTCTCCCTCTTCCCCACCAAGGAACACAGATCCAAGGGGCCATAGCCACTACCCACCCTGTGAACAAGAGGGGTCAACCCAAGCAGCCTCCCTCTGAGAGTTCCCCACTCCCACACCTCCTCTGTGCCCACCTTGAGGGTCCTCAGTGGCTACCCTGAACCCCAGGTGGGGGCCAGCCCTGCTCTCTGCCTCCAGGCAGCATCATGGGCCAAGGCCTGGTGGATCAGTCTGCTTTGGCTTCAGATAGACTCAGTCCTCTTTGAGGCCGCTCAGGAAGGGACTGTGCTCCGGGGCTGGGCAACTGTGGACTGCGGAGGCTGTCTGGATGCTGACACAGGAGGACTCTGGGATGGCAAATCCTGAGAGGGTGGGGAAAGAGGACATGCCTGACTCCCGACCCACCTCCTGGGAGATGCCTCCAGTAATCCGGGGCTCTGGGCACTTCCTCTCATGCCAGGGCCTATGGACACGGCCTGATTGGGCCAAGGTGGGGTGAGGGGTGCTGCTCAGTCTCGCCCCTCTCAGGGACCCAGAGGACAACCCAGGCCTGGCTAGAGGTAAAAGTTAACTCCCTCTATCCCTCCCCCCGAGCCGCAGTCCCCCTTGAACTGAAGCGGGTCCAGTGTCTGGGGGTACTTGGGATTGGTACCCACCTGTATCTGGCAGAGGTGGAACAGAGTGCGGGTGCCTGCCAGGCACCAGAGCTCGCCCAGAAGGGAGACAAGGATGCTCACTAAGTCCAGCCAGCGGCCCACGGTCAGCAGCAGCACGAAGAGGCCACCCATGCGCACCAGCACCGTCTGTACCTGGCTCTGCATGCCGGGGTGCTGCCGCTGCTCCTCTGGGGGCACACATCATGGACACCGTCACCGCCCACCACATCCCGGGGCTCCACCTGAGGTCCAGCTGGGCTATCGACCTGGACCTCCCTGTGTCCCATCCGTCCCCCTCGCCCCCTGCAGCTCTCCTGCTTCCTCTTTACCTCACCCCACTCTCTGGGCACCTGTACTTCTGCCCCCCAGGACTCTGCTCCCTGTACTGGTCCCCCTGCTCACCCATTCCTTCTGCCGTCCAACTACCTGAGGACAGCAGTGCCCAGATTCAGGGACACCTTGACTTCTCTCTTTCCCAAACACCCACTCTCTTTGCAGAATATACCACCTCCCTATCCAACCCCCAGTACACCTGGTCACTTCCATTGCTCACTCCAGTTTGAGCCCCTCTACCTCTCACCATGTCTACTGAGGCAGCCCCCTCCAAGCTCCCAGCTTCCATTCCTGACCCCACACTCCTTTGTCTGTTGAGTGACCTTTTGAAGACAACTGAATGGAATCAGTTCTCTGCTTTAAGTCCCCAGGGCTTCTCCTGCACTTGGAGGAACCCCCCATTCTTCCATTCACCTCAGGAGGCAGAGCCCCTGCTCCTCTCCCCTCACTTCTGGCTCGCTCACCCTTACTCTTGACCCTTGAGCCCCCCTGGCATTCTTCCTTTCATTGAGCATGTCAAACTTACTCCCACCTCAGTGCCTTTGCACATGCTATTCTCTCTTTGGGGATTGCTATTCCTCGGCTCTCACTATCCTCCTGTGCCCAGTCTGCAGCCAGTGGGCCCTGCCTAGAGCCCGGATCCAGCTCCATCACTCTGCTTCTTAACACTCTGCATGGGCTTATCACATCGCTTTGTGGGGGTCTGAGATTCGGTTTCCATACTTCTGGCTAGCCACACCCATTCCCCTGATTCTTGGGGTAACAGCCACGCTCAATTATTTTTAGTTGTTTCATGCCACCATGCTTTCTTTTCACTTCTTGACCAAAAGGATAGGGCATATGCAGTTCCTTCTACCCACATGCCCTTCCCTTCCCTCCTCTCTTAAGGAACTCCTATTTAACCTTCAAAGCCTCATCCAAAGGATCCCACTTCACACTGCACGTTCTCTGAGCTTCCCTGTGTGGCTTTTACCACTGCACTGATGCTCTGAGATAGCAGGCATGGGTCTGACTGTGTGTGGTACCCCAGTGCCAGGCACTGCTCAGCAGGTCAGACAAGGAAATGAACAGTGCCCGGACCCTGCCCCCTGAGTCCTCACCCTGCATGTAGATGACCAGTAACGTGTAGCAGATGGTGAGCGGGGTCCAGAAGCGCACAGCCTCTGAGGTGGTCAGGAAGTCCCGGTTGATGAGGGCCACGGCAGCCAGGTCACCCACAGCAAAGGCCAAGGCCAATGCCCGGCCCAGGAACCCGGGGAGGTCTTGTGCACGAACCAGCAGAGTCAGGCACACCCCGCAGTAGTTCTGGCTGCTGTGCAGCTCGAACAGGCGGTAGATGTGGCGGCAGAGGCGCCGGGCTCCTGAGCTAAGCAGTGCGGCCAGCCCGAGGGCCAGTAGCAGGTTCAGCGAGCGGTGAGGGGCGCCCTCCTGCAGGAAGCTCAGGCCACAGGTCAGCCCACAGCCCAGGGAGTACTGGCACAGCAGGAAGAGCTGCAGCCTCTCTGTGTCCCGAGAGCCCTGGGTGGGGAAGAGACAGAAGAGGCTTCAGGACTGGTGCTCAGGTCACCCCTGAAGGTGCCAGGAGGAAGAGGACTGCCAGAAGCACCCTCCACTTTACAGAAGGCTAAAGGGACACACACAATGCACTAGGGCCTGTAGGAACCACCTCTCTACACTTCATTGCAATCCTATCACTTTGAGCTCATCTCCTTGCTGAAGGGTGCTGGTCTAGCCTGCTCTGCCCCCTGCTGGTGGATGCCCACAGACAAACAATGCAACCTCTATCTCTGACCCTGGGTTTTCCCAGCTGTGAAATGGGATCACAGAATGTGGTTTTGAGGATTAAATTGAGGTGATAGACTCAACTCATCAAGCACCAAAACAAATAAAAAAAACAATCCAAACTGAGCTAATTTCAATGCATAATGACCCTGCAAGACAGACAGAACAGGCCCCTGGGGTTTCCAAGGCTGAAATCTTCATGGAAGCCCATCTTTCTCCTGTGGAGTGGCCGTTGGTTCAAATTGTGAACCTTTCACCTAGTAACCAGGCACTTTAGGCACTGTGACACCAGGGATACTTGGATTTAGACCAGTGCCCAGCATTTGAGAATTCTTTTTTTTTAAGTGACATCTTTTTTTTTAAATTTATTATTAATTTCAATGAAAATTTACAGAGACTTTGGATTTCCATTCATTCATTGTTGCACTTTTCTCCCCTCCCAACCCTCCCTCCTAGTACACTACCGTCTTGGAAAAGTAAAAGAAAAATTCTTTCATTGTTTTACAATCCCTCCCCCCAGGTCCACTCCACTATGCAGCTTTCGCTCTGGATTCCTGTCATGACAAAAATACCTAATCACATATCCCTTTTAAACGGTTTTCTCCCTCATCTGTTTCAATGCAGTATACATTATTTAACCCATCTTTCTCAGTCTCCCCCCAACCCCAATATCAGTCCTGTTTCACAACAGTGGCACTATGCAGTATTTGTCCTTTTGTGACTGAGATACTTCCCTCAGCATAATGTCTTCCAGAGTCACCCATGTTTAATAATATTGCTTGATCTCCTTGTTTTTCAGTGCAGCATAGTATTCCGTTGTGTCAATATACCACAGCTTCTCTATCCATTCGTTTGTGGATGGGCACTTAGGCTGTTTCCAACTCCTTGCTATTGTGAACAAAGCCGCGATATACATGGGTGTGCATATATCTGCTTGGATGTCAGTGATGGTCTCTTTGGGGTATATTCCCAGTAGTGGAAAATGGTATCTCTATTTACAACTTTTTGAGACAGTGCCATACTGCCTTCCACAGTGGTTGCACCATTTTACACTCCCACCAACAGTGAATAAAGGTTCCAGTTTCTCCACAACCTTGCCAGCATTTGTTGCTTGCTGTTCTGTTTAATTTTGCTATTCTGACTGGGGTGAGATGATATCTCATAGTTGTTTTGAGCATTTGAGAATTAACACACAGGAGTTGTCACTGTTACTTTCTTGGGTCTGATTGTAGCTATCAGAGTGGAGATTTCGGAAAATAAAGAACCCAGGAGCCCAGTTGAAGCTTCTATTCACAATCCCGCAGACAGATTGTTGTTACTGTTAGGCTCCATCAAGCCAAGTACAACTCATAACAACCCTGTGAATAACAGATCTGAACCCTGGCCTATCCTGTGCCAGCCCCATCATCTCTGACACACTTGAGCCCACTGCTGCAGTCACCAGGTCAATCCATCTCGTTGAGTCTTCCTTTCTTTTGCTGTCCCTCTACCTTTCTAAACGTGATGTCCCTCTCCAAGGAATAGCCTCTCTCAGCAACATGCCCAAAGTATGAGAGACACAGCTGCACCATCTTTGCCTCTAAGGAGCACTCTGGCTGCACTTTCTCCAAGACATATCTGTTCTTTTGGCAGTCCTTGAGATATTCAGTCCCCTTCTCTCACACCACAACTCAAAAGGCATTGATTCTTCTGTCAGCCTTTTTCATTGTCCAGTTCCCAGATGCACAGTAAGTGACTGAAAAGACCATGGCCTGAATCAGGTGTATCTTAGTTCTCAAACTGACATCATTGCTCCTCAGTACTTTGTAGTAGTCCTGACAGTGGACTTGCCTAATGCAATAAGTCTCCTAATATCGTGACTGCTGGAATCAAGAGTGTTGACTGTGGATTCAAGTAAGGTGAAATCGTTGACAGCAATCTTTTCACCATCTATCATGATATTGCTTATAGGCCTGGTGGTAAGCATCTTTATATTCTTAATATTGAGATGCATTTCATATTAAAGGCTGCAGTCCCTGATCCTCTGAAGCAAGCATTTCAAGTCCTCCTCACTTCCAGCGAGCTAAACTGTGTCATCTGCATAGCACAGGTTGATGAGTCTTCCTCTGATCCTGATGCCACATTCTTCTTCAGACAAGAGGGTGATGGAAAACCTGGACCCACCTCCCGTGTTTCAGAGATTCCAACCAATTCATTCTGGCTCAACCACTGCTGAGAGTTTGCATTTCCTCCCAGACATATGGAGCCAGACCCTATATGTTAACAGGAATCACCTGTCATCTGTAAGGGTCACCTGAGAAGCCAGTTACACTGTCACTTCTGATTCAGTGTATTTGGGTAGAAAGACAAATTCTCAGCAGAGAGTTGAACATGAATGAACCAGTTCCAAGCACTGTGAGTACAAAGGCTCCGAACCCAGGACTGACACCCTCCCTGTCTCTCTGCACCGTTCTGGGGTTGGGTGGGTGGTCTCACCTTGGCCAGCGACATCAGGGTAGAGAGAGCTCGGAGGGAGAACTCGAGCACCACAAGGGCGGCCACCCGCGTCCTCACGATGGTCAGGATCAAGGCCAGCCCCACCAGATGCACTGCCTCCAGGGCCCACTGGGTCCGCAGCCGCTCCTTTTCAGGCTGCCGCCTCTCAGGATCTCTATAGGATCAGAGTGGGTGAGCAGAAGTTCTAGCGCTGAGCCTGGTGCCCCTGCCATGCTCTCCAAGAGGGAGACGAGACCACAGACCTGCCCTCAGGTGCCAGGACCAGAGCGTAGGTCCCAAGGGCCTGGCTGTGAGCCGAGAGTGTCTGACAGGTGGGTACTCACCTGACACAGCCCACAAAGAAGTAAACTTTCAGGAGACTGCTCAGGACCGAGACTCCGCAGGCCCCGATGAGGCCTGAGTGGTGAGAAGGAGACAGGCGGAGGTGTGGTGTGTGGGGTTGGGGAGGAGGCAGTCGGGGGGGGGGGGCGCCCACGTGTACCACACAGAGCAGGTGTCGGCTGGGGTGGGGCTGGGAGGAAAGGCTCACCTTGCAGGAGAGAGTCCAGGAGGCTGGAGCCCCACTCGAGGGAGGGGAAGCCAGGGAGCCAGGAGGGGAGGGCCAGCAGTGAGAACATGGCGGCTGGGATCCAGCCCCTGACTCCGGCCCCTGTGCAGGGACAGACCAACGTCACTGGGCAAAGGTATCAGTGCAAGAGAGGAGGGGCCTGAGAGGCCAAAGGCCCCTTGGGAGGGAGGACGTCCCCACGGGAGGGGAGAGAGAGAGAGAGGAGAGGTCAGTGCTCTTAACTCTTTCAGAATAGGGTGGCCGGTAGGCAGGTTCCTGGTCCAAGGGTAAGAGGTGTTGGGGCCAGTTCCTGCTGGAAGGACTGGCTCTGGGACTGGCCTCTGGCCCTAGAGTCAACACCTCCCCTACAGCTGTAGGTGCACAATGCCTTCCAGACACCCCAGACTTCCTCTTAAGTTGGAGTTCTGCTCTCTCTTAGCCAGAAGTGTGGGATCCACCCTCTCAGCCCAAGGTTTGAAAGACGAGCTATATCCCACACAGCCCGATGTATGTAGGCTCTAGCTCCACATAGCTTGATATCTGAGCGGGTGTCTTATTCTTCCATAGCCTGAGGTGGTGTGGTGGGCTTAGCGCAATCCTAACAGCCAGGCTCTGCTCTTTCAGTTGAAGTGTGGGAGTCTACCTGGACCTCAGCCTGGGCTGCAGTTCTGCCTTCTCACAGAGGGATTTGAGGGTAGATCCTCCTGAGGCAGGAAAGTTGGATTCATTTTTCTCAAATTCAACTCTGGGCCTTCTTCCTCTCTGAGACTTAACAGCAACCCACCTACCTTTCTCCATATCTATTCAAGTAATTATGATGAAAAATGTGGCATCAGGATCTCTGGGTGGGAGGAAGACTCACCAACAACCTGCATTGTGCAGATGATATAGCCTTGCTTGCTGAAATTGAGGAGGATCTGAAGCTCTTGCTGCAGAAGATCAAAGACTAAAGCCTTACATCTCAACGTCAAGAAAACAGAAATCACCACCACTGGACCAATAGGCAACATCATGAGAGATGGAGAAAAGATTGAAATTGTTAACTATTTCATCTTACTTGGATCCACAGTCAACACCCTTGGTGATAGCAGATAGCAGTCAGGAAATCAGGAGATATATTGCTTTGGGCAAATTGGCTGTCGGAGACCTCTCTAAATTACTGAGGAACAACAAGGTCAGGTTGAGGACTAAGGTGCATCTGATTCAGGCCATAGTCTTTTCAATCACTATGTATCTGAGACCTGGACAACAAATAAGGATGACAGAAAAAGAATTGATGCCTTTCAGCTGTGGTGTTGGAAAAGAGTACTAAATATCCCATGGACTGCCAAAAAAAAAAAAAAAAAACACAAATAGATACGTCTTGGAGAGGGTGCAGCCAGAATGCTTCTTGGAGTCAAGGATGATAAAACTTCATCTCACATACTTTGGACATGTTGCTAGAAGAGGCTGTTCCTTGGAGAAGGACATCATGCTTGGAATGGCGGAGGGCCAGTGAAAGAAAGACCCTTGCTGAGATGTATCAACACTGTAACTGCAGCAACGGGCTCAAGTGTGTCAGAGAAGAGGAGGCTGGCACAGGATAGGACAGGGTTCATAGGGTCTCCACACACACAGCTCTAGGGCCACCTAACAACCTTGACATTCCTCCCAGTGTCCACTAGGTGGCGGACCTCAACTGGGTCAGATGTGGTGGCATGCTGCGCGCGCACACACACCCCACCCCCCCCAATCCCTTTCCAGACAGAACAGAGAGAGTTTAGGGATGGGGCGATGGAGACTGCCAGCAAAGAGAGTCATTAGAGTAAACAAAACAAAATCTTTATTGGTTTGGAGTGTGCAAGACAGGGTGAAGAGGAGGAGGAGCTGATGGGGAGCAGCTCTTGGCAGAACCAGGGTGTGGTGAACGGCATCAGGCTGCCAGACCCTGGGCCAGTTCCACCCTTTCCACAATCTCATTTCTGCACAAAGGTCGGTGCAGGGCCTTAAGACGAGTGCACAAGGGAGTGTGGCTGGAGTTCAGAGCCCCAGAACAAGAATACCTAGCTAATCTACTCACCTTGAGTAAGTCATTTCCCTTCTTGGGGCCTCAGTCTCCTCATCTGAATAATGGGTATCAACTAGAGCTTCTTTTAGGAATTGTCAAGAGGATATGTGCAAATGCCCATACAGAGCTGGAAACCTAGGAGTCCCTCAATAAAAGTCTCAGGTGAGGTGCCCTGGCCTCCCTGTGTACCTCCAGACCTTCCACATGGACAGTGATCCCCGAGGCCCCCATGGTCGGGCATGGTGATGCCCATCTCAAGGGCACAGGTTCACAGCCAGCCAAGTTCCACTCTTGCTTCTACCACTTCAAAACTGTATAGCTTTGCCATATGTTCAGCCTCTCTCAGCCTCTGGTTCTTTATTGGTAAATGAAGGCTCCTTCTATTTCATACTGGTTAGGATGGGAAGCAACACAATAAGTAGGGAGCCCTGGTGGCCTGGTGTTTAAGCACTCATCTATGAACAGAAATGTTGGCATCTGTTCAAACCCACCAGCTATTTGGTAGGAGAAAGACATTGGCAGTCTACTTCCACAAAGGTTTCAGCCTCAGAGATCCACAGGGCAGATTTCACTCTGCCCTATGAGCTGGAACTTAACTGGACAGCATGGGCTTTCATACTATTTGGAAATCTCTAGGTGGTTCAAAGAAAGGTTCAAAGGTGCTTGTCTGCTAACTGAAAGGCTGTAGGTTTGAGTCCATCCAGAGGCTCCTTGGAAGAAAGGCCTGGTGATCTGGTTATGGAAAATGAGCCATTGAAAATGCTGAGAAGCAAGGTTTTACTCGGATACACGTGGGGTCACCAGGAGGTGGGGCACACTTGCTGGCAACCAGTCTGGCTTGTTTTTTTTAAAGATGAGGCGAGTTGATGCAGGTCAGTCACTCTCTGTTAGGCCCCATGCCCTGAGCAGTTAACAGGACAGTGCATAAAGCTCTGGGATGAGTTAGCCCTGTCCAGAGAGAACCTTCTGAAGGACCAGCAGTGGTGATTTGGGACAGATGCTCTGCTGGTGGCAGTGCTGTGAGCTGGGGTTGGTCTGAACAGGGCTGTCCACACGGGGGGGGCTGGCCCCCTGCAACAGGAGGTGATTGTTCCAGGTGAGAAACTGTCAGTGCCGGCAAGTGCTGGGTGGGACTAGGTGCCCTGGCCGGCCAGCTTTCGGAGCTCGTCCCAGAAGAGCATGCTGAGGATGGTGTGGGGGCCCAGCCGCAGGTAGGCAGGGCCCAGACCTTTGTACAGTGCTAGGGGACCCTCCTGCTGCCAGATCTTCACCAAGCAGTCGGCGAGGCCCCTGTACAGCTGGCCCTGGGGGAGAACATAGCAGGTGTCACAACAGGTGCACCCCTCCCTGGGTGTGTCTGCATGTACCAGGTGAGCACCAAGCAATCATCTGGGCTGTACAACAAGAAAAGGGTCCCCTCATAGAGGATCGCCTCAGGCCCGCACCAGGGGCTTGGTGAGATAGGAGCACATCAGTGTGCATCACCCCTGACTAGTCCGCAGCAGGAACCTCTGACCAGGCACAGCTTGCAGCACCGGACGTCAGGGCTCCACGTGGACCGGGGCTGTGAGGCTGGCAGGGCCACAGGAAGGTCGTGGGTTCGGGTGGGATCCCCCTGCTACGTCCTCTACTTACCAGCTGGGTAGCCTCAGCCCAGCACTCGATCTCTTTGGGCCTCAGTTTGCTCATCAAGGAAAGTGGGGATTGTGTGATAAGAATGGAGTAAGATTCAGATGTGAAAGTGATTCACATGGGCAGGATACACCGGTGCTCAGCAAACAAACCAAACTAATTACTGTGTTGCACACACGCGTGTGGATGTGTGCATGTTCTCTCTGGCTCCCCACATCCCTCTCATCCCATCCAGCTCACCCGGCCAGCTCCATCCACGGGCTGATTGTACAGCCTTGTGCTGACCACGTCGAAAGGTGTCATGACTGCGACCACGGCGACACTGCTGATCATGCCCCCGGCCAGGGCCACCAGCCAGCTGTCCTCCGGGAGCCACTGTGGGGATGACATGAGCTGCTGACCGTCCTCCAGCCACATAATAGTCTCTCCAACCCCCAAGGCATGGGGGCTGGAAGAACTGGGGAACAGCTCAGGGGACCAGACAGGGCCCTCCAGCCATTCTGCACCCCAACTCCAACCCCCAAACTTCTTCACATCTTCAGAGTTCACTGCTGGCCCCAGTATTCCTGGACCCAAGGGCTGGGGCCATCATCTTAAGGTCACAGTCAGGGCCTTTGGCTTTATCCAGCTATCATTATCCCCTTGAATTTCCTGTGTAAAGATTCAGCTGGGGACTTGGGAATGGGATGAGGGTCCAGATAGATGTGGAGAAAGGAGGCAGGTCCTCCCAACTCATTATGTGTCTCTGTGAGTGACACAGGTATCCCTAATTCCTCACCTGTCTCTCCTGTACCCAGGTCTTGGAGGAAGCGAAGGTGGCCAGCTGGGCAGCCGAACCCACCATGACACGGGGCACAGCCCCACCCACGCCCCTCCACAGTCCAACCAGGCCCTGCTGCCGCCAGATGGTCTCCAAGGCGCCGAGGACACTCTGTGGGAAGAGGGCATGGGTCACTGGACAGCCCTGTCCAGTCTTGGAGCCCAGCCAGCCCAGCCCAGGGGTCTCACCTGGTGATGGTGCTGGTGTCCTACGGCCATGGTGGCCACTGTCTGGGCCTGCAGCTGTGTCTTGACCTGGAAGAGTCATGGGGACAGAGAATTTTGGAGTTGGAGACTTAAGAAAGGTGTGTGTGTGTTGAGAGTACCCCTTCTAGGCCCGTCAAACCTGTGAAAGAGTCACACCTGAGCTGGGGTGGGGGCAGGTGGAATACAGCTGAGGAGAAGGGCAGGAGTGAGCCTGACTGTGCACCTCAGTGTGACCTGGGAAAGCCATTTAACTTTCTTTGTGCCTCAGTTTCCTCACCCTGGAGGCGTGTTCTGAGGAGTGCATGAGACAGGGTGTCCAGTGCCCAGGCCTATGCCTGGAACTTGGGGGTCTTTGCTCAGCAGAAGTTTTTACTGTGAACTTGGACAGGACCACACAGAACGAAAGGCAATGATGCTGGAATCTGAGTCATCACGCTTCCTGCTACCCTGGCTGCCCAAATGGGGCAGGGCCCTGGGAGAGGGAGGCTCAGCGCAAGGTGCTATGGGCCAAGGGGGCAGATTCAAGACCTGGGCTGGAATGTTCCCCTGCACCGCCAAGCCCAGCTGGTCTCAACCTGCCCTCATTCATCAGCTATGCTCAGTGCTGGAGGCTGCAGGGGCCCTGGAAGGAGCTGGGTCTGGGGGTGGGGGTGGATGGGGCAGGATACTCACCAGGTAAGCAGGGCTCCCCACGAAGGCTCCCAGTGCCCCTGCTATGGCCCCTGCCACCACAGTGCCTCCGGGCTGCTGGGCTAAGCCTGCCTGACATGCCAGGCTGTAGCAGTAGAAGCGGACACCGTTCATGAGGCCCTGGTAGAGCAGGCCGGCGCCCAGCCCCTTCTGCAGGCCCCACAGCCCATCAGCACGAGCCACCGCGAACATAGAGGCCACAAAGCCACGGTAGGGCCTTGGGTAGGTGCCCCGGGCCCGCAGCTCCCCCTGCAGCTGCAGCCGTGTCTTGACCACCTCCAAGGGGTTGGTGAAGACACAGGCCAGACAACAGGCTGAGGCGCCCAACACCAGGTCCACAGCAGGGGGCACCGTCTCCATGGCCTCTCGGCCGGGGGCCGGCTGTGCCCGGGTCAGGGGCATGGGCTCCGGGCTTGGGGAGTCGGCGTTTAGGCTATTTTCATTCCCGTATGGGGTCCAGGCCGGAGAACCGGAAGCCCATGTCTGGAGGGCAGAGGTCATGGTGGGACAGGCGCACAGCTGACCTAGTCCCGGGTCTAACTCTGGAGTCCACCTGCTCTGCACGGCCCGCCCCCTGGCGACTGGGACACGCCCCCACCAGTTCTGACCAATCACGGCAGCCTCTGATCCCACACCTCTCAGTGAGGCGGGGCCTGGACCCTGGGATCTGGGGTAAAGGTTACCTGGTGCCTGAGGGGCAGTGGGGGGTGGGGAGGAGCCTACATTGGCCCCGAGCCCTTCCTCCTGAGCTCCCTTTGGTCTGGGGTGAAATGGGGGTGCCTCTGCTCCTCCGCAGGTTTAGCCAGTCCTGTCTCAGAGCGCAGTCCCTCCCCACCCACCCTATCACGGTCAAGGTCTAGTTACCTAGCTTCCCTGTCCAGTTCAATCTTCCAGTCCAGCTCCCAATATCCGGTTCCACCGAGTGCAGAAGCAGAGGTAGAGACTGGCTTCGGAGCCCCAGAAACTGATTTTAAATCTTAAGGACTATTAGGTGTGACCTTGGACTGGTCATTTCCTCTGAGCCTGTGTCTCCCTCACTTGTAAGTGGGGTATGTTGCTGTTCCTAGACGCAGTAGACATGATAAAGACTTAAAATGGGAACAGCGTTACCTACTTCACAAGATTCCCTGGTGGCTTAGAGAAGTGTGGAGAGCTGAACGTGGTCCCATCCTCGCCCCAGTAGGGACCCTGGGTCTCCAAAAGTTACTTTCATCAGCCCCTAAGTAATGCCTTGTTCTCTAGGTCTGCACCTCCTCCTGGTAGACACCAGGAGGGACTGTGGCTCCCCAAAGGTGTGGCTGATACGGAAGGAGAGGGGTACCTTGGACTAGGGCTTGGGAAGAAAGGCACTCCCACCCAAGCACTTCTGTCAGGGTCTGCTCTGTGCCCCCATCTTCATCATGGTCACTCCTGCCAGGGCCCCCTGGATGACCTAAATCTGGATGTGGGGAGCTCTGCCTCAGTGGTAGCACCTCTTTACTTCCACATGGTCATTCAAGAAAAGGCCTTCATGCTCCCCTGGTCCAGTGGCCAGGTTTGTTGGCTGGGTAGTCCCTGGAGGTAGCAGCTCAGCCAAAGACCCTGGGCATACAGCTTGGACTCTGCTGAGTCTATCTCAAGAGTGGCTGGCACCCTCCCCAACCAGAGTGGAGAGGTAAGCAGCTGGCTGGCCTTGCTCTGTCCTTCCCTGAGATGTGTCCTAGGATGGGGAGTGGATGACCCAGCAAGCAGGATAAGCACTGAGTTACTTGTGGTGAAAAGATGTAAACTGTCCACTACAGGTCGGTAAGAAAGCACAGGTACACCTGTGTGAGGGAAGCCAACTATCAAATTTAATAATAGTAGACCAAATGCTGTATCTGGAAATGAGGGAAGCTTAATACAAGCTGAAGGTCACCTTGTGGTACTGGGGTGTTCCCTAGGAGACAACATTGTTCTTAGTTTGTGTCAACTGAATCCCTCCCTCTTGAGATTAGCATAAAGAAGAACTTGGCCTTATCTGTAAAAGACTTCACCATTATCCTTTGTTTTTGTTTTGTACTTCCTTGTGATTTTACTTTGTTCACCTTCCCAGTGCCCCTGCTATGGCCCCTGCCACCGCAGTGCCTCCCGGCTGGGCTAAGCCACTGGTGTTATCTGGTGGATAAGGTGGTGGTTTCTCTTTCTTTTTTTTGAGCAGACACCAGGAACCGAAAGGGACTTCGCTCAGGGTAAGTGAAACTTTTGGGAAAATTAAAAACAGAGTCATGAGAGAATCTTCACTCCTTGGAAGTTAAGGATTGTTTGTTGTTGTTATGTGCCGTCCAGTC